GAGGGGCGGAGGGGCGGAGGGGGGGATCGGGATAGGTGGAGAAGAAAGCGTGAGGTGCGTGCGATGCTGGAAATGCAGAAGTGCCCAGGCCAAGGTGCTGCGGATTGTGATCTGGCTCGAGTGCGGGTATCGAGTGAGCATGAGCATGCCAGTTGTAGCGAGCATCATACTACAAGCTAGCAGAGAAGCAGAGAACTCGACAATTACCATACCAGGACTATAGCGAGATGTATGCGCATTGCAATGATTGAAGCAGCAAAAAAAAGGTCATCATATCCGGGTAGGTAGTCGTACCTAGGTAGAGGAATCGGCCTGAGTGTAGAAAGTGCTATAAGTGCAGCAGAGGCAACTGCAAGGCGAGCTAGCAGGCAACTTCTCAGTGCTAACTGTAGTACCAGCAGGTACTAGTCAATCCGCAAGGAGAAACAACAACAACACCAACACCACCACCACGCTCAGGAACCAGCCCAGCATGAATATCAGCCCCTGTCAGGCCAAACCACGAACACCCGAGAACAGGGAACGAAGAAGATTGTCCAGTGACAACACATATATGAGGGCTTCTCTTCACCGGTACCCGTGCTTCTGATAGGACGAGGAGCCGCATCCCCAGTGCACCAATCCACCATGACATTCTGCCTTGCGCCGAGAGACAGTCAATTGTGAGCGCGGTCAGCCTCGGGAGCCGTGGCGGCGCTGTCCCAACGTCGAGTATCCTCCACCGCTAATGTGCTCAAGTCATCTTCACATCTATGAGATCACTCTGATGGGGTCATGGGGAGATGAGGAGAACCTGTCACAAGAATAATGGCGGTGCACCTTCGACAACCTCTGCTTTCAAACTCCTGCGTCTGGTAGTTCTCCAAGGGAGGTGCCGTCGACACACAGCAACATCGTCATGCAATGCGATTATCACTGCCGGAAGGAGTAGCCAGACAGGCCCTTACTTCTCGGCCGTTCTGTTGTAGCGGCCATACGAATAGCAAGTGATGGGTGATGTGCAGAAATGAAAGAACGCTTAACGAGGCGTCGCTGCATACCAAACCCAACTCATTGAAACAGAGGCTCAGTCCTCTTCATACAACCAATACCCAGCAAAAGACAGGAGTAATAACCTTCAAATTTCGCCTTCGTAACCACAATCTTCAAAGTTCATCCCGAATAATACGACTGGCATCGAACAAGCACCAAATCCCATGATATGCCGCACAAAGATCATACCAAGCGGCACAAGGCCCCCAAGACACAGCCCCCGAATCCCACCAGCGTTCTTCTCCAAGCAATGACTGACCGAATTTCCAACGATGATGGATGGTACAACCGTTCCGCAGCGCAGCAGCCATCTTCTGCGCATGGCGCTGCCCCCCTCCCTCTGCAAGGTTAATCCCACCAAACCCAGCCTTATGATCGCCGCAAATCAGACGATCCCGATCAGAGAATCGTTTTACGCAATGAGAGCTACTCGTATCATTTCCTGATAATGGCTCGATACAGGATAAACACCCGGATTGCTGCGGCGAGGGTTCCGGATGTTGATGGCCAATCAGTCAAGGAAATGACATGCACTGCATAAGATCCATCCTTCTGGTCAGCCCTGGCGTGAAGGCTCCCGAAGCACAAAGTTACCAAGTCATTTTAGCCTACAGAGTACCTGGAGTCTCGGATCAATCGCCGAAATCGTCTTGTAGCTTCGAGATATCCGGAAGTTTCAATGCTCGCTTATCAAAATTTCTTCTTCTTCTGAGCCATCGTGGCCATCTACTACTACCAGCACTTTGGATTACTTCAAAGAAAGGAGTAGGAATAAATATCCGGCATGAACCGGGAGCAGCCGAGATGGTTCATGTAAGTGTTATTTGGCCCCGTTCCTGTGATATGAATGAGCCTCTTCCCTAATCCTTCCATTCCCTTTCTTTCCCCAGATGTGGTTTCACAGTCTCGCTACCGGCACTTGGTAAACCCTTGTGGGGAGGAGTGATTCATTGATCATACTTCTTCGCTGCGCTTCTGTAACGGCTGCTATCCAAGTGGAATCTCTGGTGCTCCTTGATCTTTATGTTTTCTTTCTTTTGCCCATTGTCAACCGTACTTGCAATGGCGCCTAATCGCGATCCATCAATTATCTATATGTAGATCCTCTTATATCTATGTATCTTTACGATATATTTCACAACAAAGTCTGCGATGCTCAACAAAAGTATGAGTAAACAGCTCTCCCGTTACTCAACCTTCCTACATTCATGGATTCCTATATTCAACAATAAAGGGATGCTTTCAAATGCTCTCGGACTAATATAATGACTGCGAATTACCCTCCGCGTATGAAGCAACGAAACTTGCACACTATTCTTCTGGCTATTCATCGCGAGCATGGAACACTTTGATCTGTCGGATCATAATAGAGGTTATCATCGCATACATGTAACCCCTGAAATTATATATTCCTATCAACAAGTTCTCATCTCCATCTCCCACTACCCAGCCTTCGACCTGCTTCGCTTCACTCATATTGAGTTCATCTATCTATTGTCATCAACTCTATCCATCGCCCGCCCACCTACTCTCCGTCCTTCCCCTTCTCTATTTCGCCATCTCACGGGACTGTACTATTTTCGACTCCCCTTGCAGCTGATCCTTTACACAACCAAATAATTCCAAAATCATGCTAAAGTAGATGCTCATAGCAGAAAGGGGGGCTTGATGAGCTCCATGAGTTCGTGGAAACATTTTTATTCCCGGTTTCGGGTATTTTGTGTAGGGATGTGGGATAGGGGGAAGTAAATAGAGTCGGTTGGTCTTGTACATAGTTTACGCAGCCTCTGGGGGAGGGAGTACTACTGAGATGTGATATATTGTCCTCGACTTGCGTGGAAATAAATAAAGTGGGCGGTGACCAGCTTTCGTTGTCCTAGTCTATCTGGGTAATATGAAAATAGCCATATTTACTGGAGGGTAGTATCTGGAAAGTCTCTCCCATCGAATGAATCTACGTGTTTAGAAAGAAAACACGTCCATGAAATTGCCCAAAATTACCAGACTAGTAGCTTTGATATGGTTCTTAAAATGAAACGTACTTCCTCGGTAAGCTGCTGCTAATGGCAGACGTGCCAGTCTTATATAGAACCTTCGTTCTCAGTGGTCGCAATGTCGCTCGTTTTCGTCACGTGATATTCTAACCGAAAGAAATCCTAGCTAGCCTAAGCATCCCTATTTGCTATAAGAGTTACATGATAGTGCTTAACCTGTCAGGGCGCCGCCTGGTCTTCACTCGTCACCTGCTAACACGTGATTCATGACATTATATTTAAAACGGTACATGCAAAGTAGAGTAAAGTAGATCTAAAACTAGGTCAAATTTTTAGATATTTGGAAATCTATTCTAGTTGGCCATATGGCATTCTTTTATAGGGAAGAGGTATAGAACTATGATCAGTATGGTTAGACCCGGGTTATATACTCCGAGCTAAACAGGCCGTGAGCCCCTTTTTAGAGTTCTCCGTTATAAGACTGAACCACTCGAAATCCTTAGGTGGTTAACTATATCGAAAAAGAACTAACCGTTGCTCTTTATCATATATGGGTTAGACAAGCGATCTAAATTACAACATACAATTAAGTTTGTTATTAGAGAAAACCTAAAATCCAATTCGTCAAGTCTTCTAGATCGAGTAGCAGTAATTAATATATCGAAACATCTAATACAACAATGGAGGACAGTAGTATACGAGAATACCAATAGTCTTCTCACATGTTTAAGCAATTCCGTAGAAGGAAGAGGAGACTGCGCTATTACACCCTTCTTTTCCGTAGTAGGAGTCCGAAGCCCAAGCTAATCGAGACGGCAGAGATAGAGAGGTTCAATCTTACTCTAAATAAAAATTGTTAAATAGACAGAGCAGAGGAGCAGATTACAAGCTGCGTATCTAAGCGAACAGGATGTCCAAAATTCGGTCCTCCCTGTTGATCCACAACAAACTAATACAAACACGTCCATGAAGAACCTGCTTGCCGAGCCTCACTGACTACTACTATAACCAACAATATAAGCTGTGCAAGTTCCCAGGAAATCAAGAGCAGAAGTATTAGGAACCTATATGGTAAAACAAGGAAAACACACAAGAGGAGTCCTTACGAAAGCCGATGCATTATTTCGAAAGCGAGAAGCGACGACGGCTAAAGGAAAATTGTGGCTCGAAGGAAGACCTGAGAGTTTTAAGGGACTTTGATTGCTCAGCGGCTGCCAGAGAATCTGTGTGTTTGCTATATAAGACCTGATGGGTTTTAGCAGAGTAGTGGGCAGAGACGTACCCACTGGAGTAGGAAGTAGATTTTTAAACCACACCTTTGAATTCGAAAACAGAGTAGTTGTATTCACCTCTGAATAAGCGGAAAGTGAATTCATAGTTAGATAATACATCATATTCGATTGGTCCAAAGATGTTCTAGAAGAACGCTCTCGCTTAATGTATAATCACACCCTTTCTTTCTCCAGTCTATAACACAAACCGATATTACACTGTCCGCCCGTCTCTTTGGGAAAGAAAGAATGACGCTCTGTAGAACAATGTAAACCAGAACTTACATTGACTTCGGCTTCTATCAATCTCCCGAGAGCCTTTGGACAGTGAAGATACCCAGGTATTCGATCGTAGTCCTGTAGCCTCCTAGCCACCCCCTTCCTAGGATTCACTGGGAGAACGCAACACAACACCACACCAAGCCATATCAAAACCCGGAGATCATTCACCAAATGAATGTTTGTATGTATGAAGGCCACAGACACGCGCGCCCAGGCATACATAGATATATAATACCCTAACCCCAGCACGAAATCTCCTACTTATCCTCCAAACATACCTTCCATCATCCACGACATCCACGAGGACTTGTCATCAACACAACACTTGATACTTTTACGAAAGCAAGAGAATCCATCAACCAACAAATACCCGGAAGAGAACTTGCTCCGTCAACCAAAGCTCTCCACAAATCACAAATCATCATGGCGTCCAAAATGCTCTCACCATCACTCCACCTACTCACCCGCCCAGAGGTAATCAAACACATCATGATTCGAAGTGCCTTCCTCGACCTCTAACTCAAGGACGTACACCCCCCAACTTCGAAAGTTGACTCGGTACTGGGACAAAAGGGAGAGGGATCCGATACAAAGACGGCAACTTCGGCGGTCTTAGGGGCCCAAAAACCAGAGCCAACTTCGAACAAGACGCCAGCAAAGGATGGATCGGGAAAGGCACGTCTGATCAACATCGCGACTACAAAATCCAAGACCTATAATTATATCATGTCCAGACAAGACAACATGAATAAAATGGATCCCTTGAATGGGGTGGGGAAGAAAACACCTCGACAATCCATCCCCAGAAGCCTGTCACCAAAGCCAGTAACCCTAATTCGGCATCTGCAACAGCCATCGAGAAATCAATATCCAACAAGCTTGTCCGTTCATGGTCTATAAGCCTCTCAGAATCACATACCAACGCAGGAAAGTCAGGAATCAACACAGCCAAATCCCCCCAATGCCCCGACTTGGACGCATTATTGGTAACTAGCGGAGGAACGACACCATCAAGTCCAACACTCTGCGCCTCTTGTGTCAGTTTCCCCACCTCGACTGTATCTTCTGTCAACCGCCTCGTGTTGATCTCACCAGTACGAGTGCAAAGCGTCCGCAACTTGGGACTTCGGTTAGTACCTCAGACGCGAAAGGAGAATTCTCATAAAAACCACCGCGTGGAGATGCACCAACTCCCATCGATACCGAAAGCAATTCATTGCCACGAAAGCCGCATCGTGGTCTCGGTCTCGGATTAGCCAGCGCTGTTCTGGCTAGTGGCCTAGCTGTCAGATATCCCCAAGGAGAAACCACTGGGTTGAAGAAGGAGATGGATCAAGTGAAGATCAGGAAATTGGGGTGGGATGAGCTTTGGGCCTTTGGGTTGTTTTAGACTGCTCGCCAAAATGGAGCTCATGAGTTTGTGAAAAAGAGACATGATGAGGTGGGATTGGAAACCAGGGTGGTGAGAGACCACCTTCGATAAGAAGGGATTTGGAGGGAACGCGTTAGCCACTCGGCTACGCTGTGTTCCTATAATCAAGTTGGCTCTTATTGATATCTGTGAGGTGGCTCTCGTTCGGGATGTATTCGGGTGCGGAACGGAGTGGTTGAGCTGCTCAGAGGGGAGGAGCGACTCTTACGGTAGTGCCTGGAACTGCCGAGGAGCAGGAGCTAGGCGCCACCTCCCCCCGGATTTCCAGGATTGTGTATAGGTACTTTCTGTTATTGGGTTTTAGGACGAGGTGTACAGCGAGTACCTTCTTGTAACAAAAATGACGAAACAATGTTTCCTTGATTTGAGCTTCTGGAGGCTTTTTAGGAGGAGTTGTGTATCTGACAAACTTAGACTAGGAATTTATATAACATAACGAGAGCCGTGACTTTTTTTCTTACCATGGAAAGTTATGAAATTTGATTATTTGGCAGATCATCTAGAGCGAGTCTCTAGGTAGAGGCTATAGATCCTATATAACCAGAATAAGTAAGGAGAACAAGAGCGGTTAAGTAATGACAGAAATAATTGGAATGTCCAGCCGATGTGCAGCTTGTAGTGTTCTTCAAAGGACGAACTACTCATGCGTATATGCAAAGTCTGTGCGATGGTGAGACAATTTAACTAATCTAGTCTGAAAGTGTAAGGTGATATTGGACCAAAAACAAGCTTCCGCAGTATCCATGCTTGAATTTAGTAGCACCTCCTATTGGTCAATTCTCATAAATTCCCGAGGTTGGGTCGTAATAGAGGGAGACGTGTCATACGGAGGAACTGCCCACGAACCCATACCAGATGGTTGAACGTTGGTTCAAGTAGTTTCCTGGTATTTGTACTTGTAGTTTGCCTTCTGGCACTGATTTGATTACGGCTCTCTGAGATTTCAAGGAGAGCTGTGTTGGGCCGTGAAAGATGCTCCTATTTGGGTGGGTATCACGACATACAGGTGTGGCACACGTTCATTTTCCAGATGCAGAGTGCTGCGATGGGTAATATTGGTGGAACATTCTTTCGTATACTGGAGTGTATTTACCTCACACTACACTGTACAGTTATATTAAATAAAAGGCTCTCGGTTGCAACGCAGCCGAAGTTTCGCTGATTGGCGGGGTCTTTTGCCATGATTCGGAGGATTTGAAGGATTCAGACTCAAACCCCCCAAACCAAGTATTTATTCCCGCAGCAGGCGATGTGGGGATTTCCAATGGCGAATTTTCGTTGGCAATAAAAATAGCCGTCAGCTACCGAAAGCGAAGGTTCAAGGATCGAGGGGGCACGCGAGCTGAAGTTGGAAGTGGGACCACTGTGTAAATTTACGTACAGCCCGCCCACTTCCCCCATTCATGCGAGATGGCAAAGACTGAAGGTCCTTATTGCGGCAGAAGGAGCAACAATTGCAGCAACAATTGTGTATATTTTTCTGAAATGGAAATGGCGACACCCAGAGGTCGGATTGTGAATTGGGGGCGTGCAGGAGTTCGATCTCTTCTGTTATGTTCTTGTGAGATGGACCGATTCTGGCAAGGGCATCGCTGTCGAAGGCTGAGCCGCTGTAACTTTGCGGCGTAGTGCCTGCGACTGCGCCTGCGACTAGGAGTGACTCGTTGACCCGGAACAGGAAATGTAAGACGCGATTGGCGCATATCCTGGCCAATGGTGAAAATATACTACCTACCTATACGGAGTACCTAGGTACGGAGTGTACTTTGTAGATGAAATGCAGTCATTAGAGTAGGTATGTATGTATATATAGGTATCTTTGGCGCAGCACTTGGCAACCGTAAGGACTTGATAAGAACACATTTGAATTTTGAGCCAGCTGAGGCTACGGAGTATTGAGCATGGAACATGAACTGGTCCACTGTACTAACCTAGCGTCTCGGCGGCAGGTTTGACAGGGCTTGGTTGCCAAGGCTTAGGATTACCCTAAACTCGTGAAACCTAGACCCCTAAAAGAGTACTGTACTGCGAAGCACTGCAAGTACAGCCCCTTACTCGAGTACCTACCTACAGTAGTTCCAAGGCACTTTGTACACCTCGTAGTCCCTTGAAGATTGGCAGTAGCAGCAACCACCCGGGTGGGAAGTCTTAAGCCTTTACTACTCAGTACCTTCGCTACTACTACTCGGTACCTTCGCTACCTATACTACTCGGTACCTTCGCTACCTATACTACTCGGTACCTTCGCTACCTATACTACTACAAGTATGCCCCTGCCTGAAGAACGGTGAGAGAGTTTGGAGCCAGAGCCAGAGCCAGGCCCAGACGGAAAATTCCCAGCACACTGCAGCCTATAGAAGTACGAAGTATGAGCACTGAATGCTTATCTAGGGACTACCTACAGTAGGCTGTACACTCGTACTTCTACTAGACCAACAACGTGTATGTACTACCAAGGTAGTAAATGAATTGCGCCTGAATTGGCTGTCTCCCTGCAACTTCCAGGGTACTTCATACTGCTACCTACAGTAGACAGCACTCTGTACCTGGTACTCCGCCCTTTGTACTATACTTCTACCTAGTAGAAGTAGTACCTAGTAGAAGTAGTACCTAGTAGAAGTAGTCAACACCCATGCCTCCATCCCCATGTCAGTAGCATCAACAACCAGGAACCCCTTGAACACCTACACCTACACCTACACCTACACCTACACCTACACCTACACCTACACCTGCACCTGCACCTGCAGCCACTGCCACACCACAGGTCTGGCCCCACTGCAATGGATCCTCTCTCTCCAGACTCTCAGTCTCTCCCTCGTACTCGAGTACCCCCGTATCGAACTTTCATCTTCCCCTCAACCTCCTTTGGATATGTTTTTGTGAATCACCATTATCACCACCATCATGCTGTAATTCTCTCATCCCGAATTCTGCTTTCACCTGCTCTCCATTCACCCTCCTATGGCTCGCTCGTTACTGCTCCTTCCACCACGATCCACCCCCTTTTCCTTTCCTCCCGCCTCACGAAAATAGTCCGTTGAGCCTCCAGCATGTCGCCGGCCGCCCTCGATGTCCGTCAGCTATTTCGACCTCCCTTCCAGTACTCCCTCTTCATAATCACTGCCACGACCCCGAAAGTGCTTCACCTGTATAGCCATCTGTCGTCGCTACCACCTTTACTCTATCTCCTTTATCTGCCAACCTTCCTAGCTTTGGACCTGTTCAATGGCGTTGTGTTCTGGGCGTTGGTACATTTGACTTCGCGGGGCGGTGTTTCGGTACTTCTCACCGTCTTGAGGTGTGCGTTATGGTAAGCATGTTCTGCCAATGGAATGTGCGCGGTCGCGGTCGCTGACCTGTCTGAATAGTCTCATCCTCCTCGGGGCCTCCTCTGCGTGGATATCCTTCTTTTTGGAGACGGGCGGTGAGATAAAATGGGGCGCGGCCAAAAATGTTGCGAAGGACCCTGCCGGCTTGAAGGTACTGGCGTCGGGAGGCACGCGAGCATTGCTGGCCGCAATTGCCCTGGTCGTGCTCGCTCGAATCGTTTCACAACCGCTTTATAATGGAACCGAGAATCTTTTTGCCGCGGGGCTCCATGCTCTGTCAGGAGGAAGATGGGGAATACGAAAATCATACAACGAGGACAACAGCTCGAAGCTGGACCTCGAGGAAGGCCCGCAATCCTCCTCAGCATTCTTGTCGGTTGAGAGCGACCACGAATACCGTAGTTCCAGCGATGCTGATGAGGCAAGAGGCTTCCTTTCGGAAAAGGAAGCCCCACGCCCTTCTTTTTGGTCACGATGGATTGCTCGTGCAAAATTTCTGGTGCCGATGGGGACGATTCTAGTTCTGCTCTTAGTGCGCCCAAGACATTTTCCCTTCGGACACATGTCGAATTCCTTGCCATACACTTTGTATGGCGTGTTCAACAAGCCAACGGACGAAGCTTGTCTAGGAAGTCTCTCGGGAGATTTCCCTCCATTTCCTTTGCCGGACCTGGTGGCCGAGGTTTTGTGGGAGCCTGCAAAGGGAGAGTTTCCTGGGTGGGAACCAAGGGTCAATCGAACATTTGATAAAAGCTTGACACGTCCGCAGTGGCTTCCCACGGAGCCAGTTCATGGATTTGAACGTTGGTATAATGAATCGATGCCAAAAGGATCCCATGGAGGTGACGGACCCCCAAAAGCGCAGAAGAACAAAGGTGGATTTTTCACCAAGGGAATCAACTATGATCCTATCACAGATCCTCTTCGAATCTCTAACCTCGATCAAGGCGTTCTCAACTCGATAGCATTGAAACTCAAAGACCACAAAGTCACTATCAAACACGTTGTGCTCCTATCATTGGAAAGTACCCGAAAAGACGTCTTTCCTCTTGAGAAAGGCTCTCACTTGCATCAAATAATTGAGAAGAGTCACAGTTCAAACTTCACGGCCGCAGAAGCGAATGTAAAGCTAGCTAAACTGACCAAGAATGCTGAAACGCTCACGGGTGAAGCAAATGGCTTTGGCATTGGGGGTGTGGAATATCCCTCGGCAAGAGCTGGAAGTTGGAGAAACCCGAACAAGGGAAGTGGGGGTCTCAATATTCAAGGAGCCCTCACTGGGAGCACCACTTCCCTGAAAAGTATCATTGGGAGCCACTGTGGTGTGCATCCTCTTCCAGTTGATTTCACAGTGGAAGTACGACGCCAGATATACCAACCATGCATCCCTTCGATTCTAGAACTCTTCAATAACAACAAACCACGTGTTGAGAGCCACCCTGGTTCAGCTGCCAAAAGAGACGATATGCAAAGCCAGCTCTGGAAACCGGTTTTTGTTCAGGCCATGACTGACCAGTACGACCACCAAGATAGACTTCTCGAGCACATGGGATTCAAAGATACGATAGTTCGAGACACCTTACTCGATCCCTCCTCTCCTCATCAGCCCACCGAGAAAGAAGTCAACTACTTCGGGTTTCCAGAGGATCAAGTCAAGCCATACATGCGAGACCTGTTTGAGGCGGCAAAGGAAAAGAACGAGCGTCTTTTTATGTCACATTTCACAAGCACTACCCATCATCCTTGGGCATTGCCCGAAGACTTTGGGGAGCTAGTGGATTATCTTGAGCCTAAGAAATGGAGCGAAGGTTCACTTAACAAATATCTAAATGCCGTCAAATATGTTGATGGCTGGATCGGCGAGATTATGGATCTTCTTGAGGATGTTGGAGTCGCTGATGAGACACTTGTGGTCATGGTAGGAGATCATGGGTGGGCTTTTGAAGAAGATGCTGCATTCCACGGAAGTTTTGAGAATGGTCATATCTCTAACATGCGGGTGCCATTGCTCTTCCATCACAATTCGCTCCCTCGTATACAATTGCAGGTCAACGCAACTTCCACATCAATCCTCCCTACTATTCTGGATCTTCTATCCACCACTTCATCACTCAATAAGCAGGATACCGATATTGCCAAGAATCTTGTACATCAATACGAAGGACAATCTCTAATTCGTCCTTTTGTTCCCAAAAAAAACGGGCGACAAGCATGGAACATTGGTATATTGAATGCTGGTGGAGCTTTATTGTCTGTATCTTCGGCTGCTGTACCATATCGACTCGTACTTCCGATATGCAGAAATGGTGTCTATCGCTTCACGGATGTGCTCCTTGACCCAAATGAGCTACACCCCATCGAGGACTATTCCATTGAAACCCTTGCTAAGCAACTGAGAAACTTCTACAAGAATGTAGGAGCAGATGGTGAAGAAGCCGCTAAATGGATTAGTGATGCGGAAAAGGTCGGCAAATGGTGGGTGCTTGAGCAAAGGCGAAAATGGCGTTTTGGAGGCTCGGCCTTGCAGGAAGATCGGAAAGCGGAGGAAATGGAGGGGATGGGGAAGGTGTCCCAGAAGAAGTGGTGGGAGACTTAATTACGAATGGAGGAGTAGAAGCATGGCCTTCAAGATATGATGATACCCCTTTTTGTTTACGAAGACCAGATTGGAATTCGACATTTGAATAGAGATGAAGTTCGGATGTGGGCGGAACGCGAGACTTTATTCCTTTCGTATACATTGCAGGTGTTCTGGGTATATAATTTTTACGGCGTTGAAAGGGGCATGGACTGAGTTCATTATAAGGGCACTTATTATATAGAAAAGACGGGGCATTCTTGCAATACACATATTTGTTTAATCTGAAAATGTCTGCGGATAGAACTCGTGAGAAAGTTGTTTTTCCAGAAATCCTTGAGAGGCACGTGGTAGAGAACCTTCTATCTTCTATGTAATTAGTATGTGAGTACTCAGTACATGGGGTACCCGTACTCAAGTACACCTAATGTTTTGCCCCACATTCACCCCGCCACTCGGCAGTCGTGTCCCTCATCGCGCTCAGCTCTGTTGAGCTAACTGTAATTCAAATTCTCACTTCAACGCGCCACTTGCATAGTAGTACGCTCTTCAACTTGCACTGAATCACGTACTGTTCTTCGCAACCATTCAAATCCATTCCTGAGGGCTAATTGCTCGCGTAACCCTCGAACGCAACCGACATGAGCACAACAGAAGGACAAGAACCAACTCCCACCATGGCCCGACTAGAACTCACCCTCATCGTCGCAGCGACGTCGAAAGTGGGCATTGGATTGAACGGTACACTACCTTGGACCGGATTGAGGAAGGAGATGGCGTATTTCAAGAGGGTTACTTTGAGGTCGGGGGAGGTATTTATATTCTTTTTGCTGGATGTATAGACGGGGGGCAAGAGCGGATGAAGGGGAATGGGAATATAGGGAATTGGCTGATGTATACGTATAGGGAAGAAACGCAGTAATCATGGGCCGCAAAACCTGGGATAGTATATCAGAGAAATTCAGACCGTTGGGTGGACGGTGGAATGTCGTTGTTTCACGATCGATGCCTCACTCCCCGCCCTCCTCCGATGACGGCCCTGAAATCGCGTCCTCTCTAGACGCTGCGATATCTCTGCTCTCTTCCTCTCACGGCACCTCTGGGAAGCAAGTAGAGAAGGCGTTCATCATCGGTGGCGCGCAAATCTATAAAGCTGCGCTGGAGAGACCCGAGACCAAACGTGTGTTGTTGACTAGGATTCTGGATGAGTTTGAGTGCGATACTTTTTTCCCGATTGTGCTTGGGGAGAGTGGGGTTGGGGAGGGGAGTGCGGTGGGGTGGAAGAGGAGGCCAGTGGAGGATTTGAGGGCTTGGACGGGGGAGGAGGGTGTTGGGGGGACGGTGGAGGAGGGGGGAACTAGGTATGTCTTTGAGATGTGGGAGAGGGATTGAAGGTGATTATGGGATTTGGGATGCTCGAGTGGATATTTTGAGTGGGTGGATGGTAGTAGATGGCCTCTTGAGAAAGACTTTGATCATACGAGATGGCCTTTATACAGTACTATTCGACAGGCACGGTCCAGTGCTATGTCTCTTGGGGACGATCGTTCGTCGATAATAGGAGATACTTGCCCTAATGAGCAACTTGGCTTGGGTCTCTAGTGCGAAAGGTGTACTTGTCGGAAGATTGGATCGTGCGCTGCGACCCTTGACCCACTATCGGTGGGAAGGAACTGTTCTTATGGCAGATGAAGAGTACTAAGATGCAATGGGATTTGAAAGGCAGCGACGTACATGCTAAACTCACGAAGCGGTATAGACATTATGATCTTCGGATGTTTCTTTCCGAGTTCTTGACAAGACCATCTACTCTTTCAAGATACATAATAACTTTATTTATCGGATGTTACCCGCCTGATATCAGAAGAAAATCGCTTGGATTCCCCACGTAGTTCACATGGACCTTGACTTGCGCGCAGGATTCAGACCTGTCTATTTCGATATTCGCAGTCAGCAATTGTTGGAAAGGGGGTTGCGTCCGCTTCAGCTACAGATCATGTGCAATAAAAGAAAGTACCTCACATCATCAAATCTCCCTTGTTACCACATCTCTCTCTGTACTCCCGTTGGATGCAACTCGAGAGGCTCTTCTGTTCTCCAGGGATTAAGAATCCTTCACGGCTATGGTGGAAGGACAAGCATATTCTTTAAGGTTGAATCGGGCCACCACTCGGAACGGAATATGTACAAATTTTATGGAGGGTCGTATTTTTTGTAGATGACACCCGGCTTATATTGACTTCATGGTTTGTGGTGTATTCAGATTGGTGATGAAGGAGTAGATAGGTATAAAAGAGTCTTGGTGTTAGAGTCAATTTTTTCCTCTTCATTTCTTTGGCTTTTCATTCTTTCTGGGCTCTTACCTGCTTTATTTCCTATATCTTTTCTTGCTAATCAGATTCTCTCCACAATCTTTCAAACATTTACTTCTGGTATTCCTCCTTTGGAACTGCTCTTCTTCTCTTTGCCGCCAAAGGTATAATTATTTGTTTTACGTATATTACGCCCCCCACACNCCCCCCCCCCTTTGCGCTATTTCGACAACCTCTTTATTCCATACACTGCCACTAACCCTAAGCATGAAATTTGCTTCCGCCGTCCTTCCATTCGCCGGAGCTGTCTTTGGTGCTGCAATTTCCACTCGACAAGTTCCCCAGACATCTGGTATTATCTGGCCTGTCTCGTACATCGCACTTGGTGACAGTTTCTCCGCTGGGTAGGTACCTTTATTTACCTTCTTCCACTTTAAATGCTACCTTCTTATCTTGAAACTCCCTCATGGTGTTGTATTTTTGCTAACTCCTGGTAGAATTGGCGCTGGAAAGTATACACAACCTGATAATCCACTTGTCAAAAAGTGCAAACGAATGACCGGCTCTTACCCAACTCAAGTGAAAGGCCTTTTCCCGCGTATTGACGACAATAATTTTCTGTTCGAATCTTGCTCTGGTGACAAGCTAGAAAACATCGACGCCCAGCTTTCGAATTTGGGAGGAACTCGTGCTCAGGTTGTCACGCTTTCGATCAGCGGTAACGATATCAAGTTTTCTGCCGTTGTTGAGAAGTGTGTCTATAATGTTCTCCCTCTTGGAAAATCGGATGCTACTGCCGACAAGGAATGTGACGCAGCCCTTGCTGATGCTGCAAAGCTGATTGCTGATGAGAAAATTTGGACGACCTACAAGGAGAAGGTTGATGATATTATGGCGAAGGTTATGTTGGCTGATATCAGAGGTATTCCTAGTAAGTTCAAACACATTTCTCGATGGCCCCGGGGTTTTCGATGCAATGATTTATTTTACTAATGACTTGATCATCTAGTTCCATGGAGCGTGCTTCTGATCACCGGCTATCCCAAATTCTGGGGCGATGTGAAGAAGGATGGCGACGCATGTAGCAAGCTCCGTCTCAAGATTCCTGAGGCAATACTTGGAAGTATCGCGCTAAATGGCAATTACCTTCGGCCTGAAGTGCGAAGGCGAATGAACAAACTGGTTGTGGCAGTCAATGATAAGATCAAAGCGGAAATCCTTCCCATCAACACGGACAAGATCGAGTTCGTGGATATTGATCCACTTTACGAAGGACATCGCCTTTGTGAAGATGGAGCCACGGATCCGGTAGGAGCCAACTCTGATTCTGCGTGGCTTACTACCTTCGAGACCAAATTACAAGAAGATAGTTTTGTTCCGGATCCAGACTCTGCGCTCGAAGCACAATGGTCAACCTTGACTCAAGGACTGCATCCTGGTGATGGATTTGCCCCAAATGAGTTGAAGATCAATTCCAATTTCCATCCTAAGACTGGTGGTCATTCTATGACTGCTCAAGCAGTCCATGATCGCATTGTAGACTGGGGCAACCGTCATGAGCATACGCCAACTCCTCCGCCTCAACAGTGCTATCCTGCTGATGCACCAGACCTACCGGCAATGATTTTCGTTGACGCCAATATCAAGTTGGATCCTAACCAATTACTATATAAGCTTCGCGAGAGTAAGTTTGCATATAGGATTACTCTTGTTTACAAGCTTTGTGCTAACATGTCGGTAGCACTTTGTGGGAATAGATGTGAGATACCCACTGGAATTGACACACTTGCCGGAGCCATTGTCCAGGGAGACGGCGGTCGCTGTGAAATCTCTATCGGTCTTCAGGGAAGTTCAGAAGCCTATGCTATTCGTGACCGCTCCATCTCTGGCGACGAACAAACTCAACTTTGCTAAGACAACCTTCAAAGTTGTAAGTCTACAAATCCACCCACATTCAATCATTTCTTATTAACTACCCGCCTAGTGATCAACATCTGCATCATGAACCAACCCAAATACGGCTGGCAAGCTGGCATCGACCCCAACCCTGCCTTCTACCAAACCGGATTCCGCAGACTCAACTCTCCAGACGGGAAACATAGTACCATAGACCCCAACCACGTCCTGCAGAGGGATCTCTCGGATTTCCAAACCATCTGTGGGAAGGATGATAGGTGGTGTCAGGATAATGGGTGTCGGGGAGCGAACTTCATGTGTACGGATGGGAAAAATACAAGGGCTGTGGATGTGGGGAGGATACGTGATGGAACCAGTTGGAGAGCTTGGAGCAGAACATGCAGTGTAGGAGTAGTTGTTGCAGTACGGGGCCGGATCATTGGTATAAGCAGGATTGGTGTAATGCTCATTGTGGGGGAGTGAGCACGCAATTTTGTTAGGGACCTTGGAGGTTGGTGGGTTGTGGTGTGGTGCGGTGTGATGATGGAGTTTTTGTGTCTTTTGGTAAATCTAGTTTGAAAGTTTATATAAAACTTGTCATTTAATAATTACGAAATAGAGCATCGCAGACACGCAACTTCCGGTAGATATGTTTTAGGGAAATACAGATTGAAACTGTTAGACGAGCAGGCGTTTTGTGGCATTGTTGGCACCCTTCTTTGTTACGTGCCTTTTTATAATAGTGGACGTGATACAAGGTTATAGCGAAAAGATTTCCCGAAGGCAGTATTACATTCGACGATCCCCATTCCTCTCCATCTAGTCACTTAACAAGACGCTTATGTGAACATTATTCCAGGGCTTTAAAGCCTCGAAAGAAACGAACCCCAGGGTAGTAAATCCACCGTAAGAAAGGCTAAACGTGCCGGAAGCCTTCAAACCCGATAGATCCTCCTATAGCGATCTATACTATAGTAACCTCTAAATATATGTTTTAGTAAATTAGACTATTATAACCGCTATACTATAGATTTAAGAACTACTATTATAATAGTAGTAAATATAATAATCTATAATATAATATACTTTTATTATATTTTAGAAGGGTATAGAACGAGTAAACTAGTAGATATAGAATTAGGAATATAATATAGGCTATTAATACTATAATAACTAAATATTTATATATAGAACTATACTCCTAGTCCCTTCTTACTTTCTTAGTACCCCGGTTTATTTACTTTTATCTAATATAAACGCTACTAACCCGGCTATATCTTTATTTAAAACCAACTTTATACTATTCTTTTTACTACTAAGTATTAAACCTTTAAGTATTAACCCTTTTCCTTAGTATAATTAAGCGTGAATTAAAAGTTTATCAAAGAGATTCTTAAATTAGAGCGTTTTAATAAGTATTTATTATACTAAAACATAAGATAAATTAATATTACTAAAGGTACATATACTACTAGCGCGTAGTTATAATAAAAAAGTTTTCACTTTTTCACGGCATTCCCTCTTTAGGTGAAAAACTTATAATTTGTTTAAGTGGTCTCAATTAAAAGATATTCTATTTCTATTCATATTACTTTTTAACAAATCTATACTAATTTGGTTTTCAATATTTAAATGCAAATTTTTTATAAATAATTCTGCTGCTCTTCTTTACGAAGTATGACATCAATCTTTATAGTCTAAAAATTTAGAAGAAAATAATGGAAAAACACTTAAATAAGATATAATAATAAAGATTTTTTCTTTAAAAAAAAAGAAGCTGTAATAGTATAGTATTCTCTACCTGTAGCTAATTGTTTTCTAGTTAGAAGACTACACTCCTATCTAATGGCAGACGTGCCAGTCTTATATAGAACCTTCGTGTTCCTGAAGTCGACCTGCATATATCACGTGACTTGTATACAAAGAAATTCCTGGATCGCTTAACTAACCTAAGCGATCTCTTTTTGCTATAAGAGCCATGATGTGTTTGTCCTGTCAGAACCCCGTCTGGACTAACTCCTCACGTGCTAGCACGTGATTTGTGACAACTACAACCTAAAAATTCAGATATATCTAAAAGTATAGAATGATAACTAACATTGGTTATAGGATCTAACATTCTTTGTTCAATTCTTAATCTACAAGATATTTTATTTTTTAATGCATCATTTTCTTTATTAAACTAGTAGAATATACTTACTAGTAGAACGTTTACTTTTTTACCTTAAAATACTTTATTCTTAAAGATAACTAGGTTTATTATATAGTATATTATTTATATAAATTCTTTTAATAACTTTATTAAATTGGTTTTTTAATAGGTTATTAAGCTTACTTAGCTTATTAAAGGCTTTAGACTTATGTTTTACTATATAAATATAAATAGTAACGTGGTTTATCAGCGAGTCGATCATATCACCGAGTCGATCACTTTTCCTTGGCACTACCTCCTCAAACTTCAACACACGTTTTCTTCAACTATTTACCATGGAAATTCAAACTCAAGAAGCGCGAATTACTCTAGCTATCGAGGCTATTCGGTCATCCAAAAAACTAAGCAAACGCTCTGCGGCAAAAATCTACAATGTACCATATACGACTCTTTCCGACAGAATGGCTGGCCGAACCTACCGCCCAGATTCTCAAGCCAATTGTCA